TATACATAAAAACGGAGTGAGCAAGGTTCAGTGAATAATAGCAATGTAAGGAGGTTAGTTAAACGAACATAGTCTTGGAGAATGTAAATATGCATATCAAACCATACACAGATCTTATTCATAATCATATTTTAAAACGGCCTCAGGCCTACATGTAATACAGAACGACCTCGGGCCCACATAGGATATGAAACGGCCTTAGGCCCAATATATGTACAAAACGGCATCAGGCCCAACATATTATACAGAATGGCCTCAGACCCACATCTCGACAGTTGTCCACACATTGGAAGGTAGGTAGAACATCAACATGTACACTACCTCCCATGGCCTTTGGCCATGAATCATAATCGATTCGAATCATATTAGGGCCGGTGAGACATCGGCATGTCCTCACCTCCTTTAATCTTAGGGTTGTCCACACTCCGTGGCTTATAACTGAACGGCCTCGGGCCCATCATTAACATAGCAGAACGACCTCCGGTCCTTAAGGATATCATTGCTCAATAACACACATAAGTTTTCAAGTTATTCACCATAAGGAAACATAGCTTACTTATGCATAACAGAACGCCATCGATAACTATTAGCAATAAATGAAGCAGAACATTACACTACTATTACTCACAGTGATGGACTTCCGGTAGCAATAGAATGATGTCCTCGTCTTGACTTACAAACACAATGCACATAGCATAATATGAGGATATAATCAATCTCATTCTTGTTCTTTAATCAATTAGTCATATCAGTTCTAGACTCATTAGTCCTCAATAATCCATGTCTCAGAAAATAGGAGGAATCGATAGGAAAATGGTTTAGATGAAGAAATGGTACAAAACCGGTACATGGAAAGTGAGTAACTTTCACAATTTTGGGCATATCTATTTGTATACTAAGAATTGGAGAGTGACGCTACCACAATTGGAAACTAGACTTCCGGGGCTTGAACTTAGGCTCAAGAATCACTCAACACGGAGTCCGAATGCCAGAGATATGCTTATTTAAAGTTGGCTGAACAGAGTTGTCCCGCACGTGCGGGAAACAGGGCCGCACGTTCGGGACCACGAGCTTTTTTGGCAGAATCAACTTTGGCGTTGGAAAAGGACTGCCGCACATGCGACCCTAGGCAAAAACCAGCCCGAAGATGGCTGTATGATTTGGAAGCTCTCATTTTTAAAATCAGACTTCAATTTCATGTAAATCAAAACCCAAAACTCTTTAACACATATTAAATTTCACATTCTTAGCTTCTACCCAAAACCATAACTCCAAAATATTACTCAATTTCCCAATTACAAGAACAAGATTAAGAATTAAAACAGAAAAACATAGAGTGGACATGGTTTGGGGTCCAAAGCTCACTTTCATGGTAGAATTCTCTATAGCCTCTTTAAGAACCATAAAACTCCTACAACAAATTAGATTGTAGCATAAATTCATGCTATTTCCAAAAATTCAACATCTTCTTACTTGAAGAAACAAAACCCATACATACAATCATAGATAACCCAAGAATCTCACTCTTTAGCTTATGATCTTCAAGAATTGAGAGGGAGAATCTTACCTTAAGCCTTTATCATCACTTGTTGTTGCATAACCATGATGATTTCAAGCCAAATGTTTGATTTCCTCTTTCATTCCAACTCTTTTCCTTTCTTCTCTTTGAGTTCTCTCTAGAACTCTCTCCCCCCCATCTCTCCCTCACGTGCCTTCCCCTCTCCTTTTGATATTTTTGGGTTCCAAGGGATGAGTTCACACATATATCTCATATGCATCTATACATTCCACTATATATATAGCTTATCACAAATAAGGATAGCCAAACACACCATTACGAATCGCACAAAATCAAATTTCAATTAAACTTCCCAAATGACTCTAAAAATTATGTTGATCATGAATATGTCCTTTGTTCTGGTTTCTGAAACCTCTAAGGCCTTCAATTTGCAGTGCAAAGTTAACCACCTAAGCATGCCTTAACGAATCAAATGAAATAAATTTTCAATTAATTTTTCCAAATAGCTCTAAAAATTCCCACTAACATATCCAAGTACTAAATTTTGATTTCTGAACCCTTGAAGGTCGACAATTTCAATTTCGAAGTCGAACTCAATAGATAATTTCTTAATTCAAATAGATATAATTAAATTAAAACACATTAACCCATAGTTAAATAAAGATGATTTCTTATACACATTTTGGGGTCGTTACAATATGGTAGCACCTTGCATGCATGGTCATTTCTATCTATAGGATGGTTATTATTTTAGAACTATGAGATTCCTACTGGGCAATTGTGCTCACCCCTTGTTGTTTCGTTTTTTTTACAAGAAGAGAATTTCAGATTGATTAGTTGAAGGATTAGGAAGTTCATGTATATCTTGTATGTAATCTCATTGTACTTTGATATTTGTAATTATTTAATTGTAACTCTATAGCAGGAGCTTGACATGTATTATTATTATTGTTGTATTCGTCATGAGAGAGAACGTGTACTATTATGCTTTTATTACTCAAGGGTAATAGATATTTGTAAATGTTTAAAAAAAATGACCTAAATTTCAAGCTCTTGGTAATGTTTCTGAGTAATTAAAAATTGGGGGCGTGACACATTAATTCTGAAAAATAGGAAAAACAAAGACAGGAAGATAGAGAAATTGAGTGAGTGAGAGAGAGAGAGAGAGAGAGAGAGAGAGAGAGGACCCATACTTGAAAATAAAACGTAGACCGCATATAGTGGCTACGGTTGTTGGTGATCCAGATCTCATAGACCTGTGGCTCTATTTCCATTTCTTGAAAGAAGCTTATAAAGGCATTGTGGTCGTACCTCATCAGTGTCTAGCCCAACTAATTAGCAAAATTTCTCATTTTGCCTTTTTGTTCCTCCATGAACTTCGTCTTTGGCTTTTTCCTTTTTTTTTCTCTTCCTTCTCATCACCAACCGAATTAGGGTTCGAGTTTGAGTTCTCTTTTTTCTTGTTTTTATCTTGTCCATTAGCAGCAGGCTCCCCATCAACAATAGGGTTTTGCTTCTTCTTCTTTTTTCTCTCTTGCAGCTCCCCATCTACAGCCTGCTCCAGCTTCCGCTTCTCCTTTTTCTTCTTTTGGTGCTCCTTATCATATGTCAGCCATTTCTCATTTTTCTTGTTCTCTTCCTGCACATCAGCAGCAAGCTTGAGTTTTGGCTCTGGTGGTGATGGAGATGGTCGCAAAGAAGGGGATGCAAATTTTGTGGGAGGGCTTCTAGACCCGCTTCCCCTGACCAGAATGAAACTGAGATGATGGTGGTGGTGGTAGTGGTAGTGGAAGAGAGAGGTCAAGTTTGCGGGCACTTTGTGGACCCGCTTTGCCGAGAGACCAGAGCGAGTCAGAGATAGCGGTGGTGGTGGTGGCGGAGGAGGAGGAGAGTCAGGTTTGTGACGGGCCTTGCGGGGCGTCTCCGAACGACGCCGTGATAGTGGTAAATGAGAGGGGTTATATCTGCGAGGGGCCTTGTGGGTGTCTTCACCAGGAGGACTGAGGGAGGCGGAAATGGTGGTGTTATTTGATTTCCAGAGTGAGGCAGAGATGGGGGTGGTGGTGGTGGTGGTGATGGAGCAGGAGGTGGTGGTGTTGTATGGTTACCAAAAACAGAACGAATGAGAGAGGGAAAGGGGGGAACTAAACAAGAACATCATTGATCTTGTGGGCGTTGCGATAACAACCACATAAAGAGAAGAAGATGGACTCGGGAGTGTTGGGTGAGGCTTGGGTAAAAAAAACTAGGACATGAATCTACAGCAGAGAGGTTTACTAGTACCAATTGGCTAAGCAACAACTCTCTATACTTACCCCTAGTATCCTCGCTTTCATTTCTATTGTAACGCCCCACTACTTGCTGGCCCAAGTAACTTGTGGGTACACCAACAATACCCAAAAGCTTAAGTCCAAGTTACTTAGTAGCAAGGTAGTGGTGCTTTATATGCCCAAGATCAACCATGCAAACTTCTGATGTGAGACAGGGTGTTACATCCATCATATCCACCACCAGAACGACCACAGTTGTTTTTGTTGGTTGCCATGAGAGAGAGAGAGAGAGAGAGAGAGAGAAAAAGGGAGAGAGATTATGGCGCGGATTGGTTTAGCATTAGCAAGAGTGCTTGTGCTTATAAACTGTCTTCAAGTGGACAGAGATGCTCAAAATCAAAATCAATAAATAAAGATAGTATATTCCAAAATATGTATATATAAAATCATAGAAAAATCAAAATCAATAAATAAATATAGCATATTTCAAAATCTGTATATATAAAAAATCATAGCAAAATCAAAATCAAAATCAATAAATAAATATAGCATATTTCAAAATCTGTATATATAAAAAATCATAGCAAAATCAAAATCAAAATCAATAAATAAATATAGCATTTCCTACTGGGCAATTGTGCTCACCCCTTGTTGTTTCGTTTTTTTTTTTACAAGAAGAGAATTTTAGATTGATTAGTTGAAGGATTAGGAAGTTCATGTATATCTTGTATGTAATCTCATTGTACTTTGATATTTGTAATTATTTAATTGTAACTCTATAGCGGGAGCTTGACATGTATTATTATTATTGTTGTATTCGTCATGAGAGAGAACGTGTACTATTATGCTTTTATTACTCAAGGGTAATAGATATTTGTAAATGTTTAAAAAAAAATGACCTAAATTTCAGGCTCTTGGTAATGTTTCTGAGTAATTAAAAATTGGGGGCGTGACACATTAATTCTGAAAAATAGGAAAAACAAAGACAGGAAAATAGAGAAATTGAGTGAGTGAGAGAGAGAGAGAGAGAGAGAGAGAAAGAGAGAGGACCCATACTTGAAAATAAAACATAGACCGCATATAGTGGCTACGGTTGTTGGTGATCCAGATCTCATAGACCTGTGGCTCTATTTCCATTTCTTGAAAGAAGCTTATAAAGGCATTGCGGTCGTACCTCATCAGTGTCTAGCCCAACTAATTAGCAAAATTTCTCATTTTGCCTTTTTGTTCCTCCATGAACTTCGTCTTTGGCTTTTTCCTTTTTTTTTCTCTTCCTTCTCATCACCAACCGAATTACGGTTCGGGTTTGAGTTCTCTTTTTTCTTGTTTTTATCTTGTCCATTAGCAGCAGGCTCCCCATCAACAATAGGGTTTTGCTTCTTCTTCTTTTTTCTCTCTTGCAGCTCCCCATCTACATCCTGCTCCAGCTTCCGCTTCTCCTTTTTCTTCTTTTGGTGCTCCTTATCATATGTCAGCCATTTCTTATTTTTCTTGTTCTCTTCCTGCACATCAGCAGCAAGCTTGAGTTTTGGCTCTGGTGGTGATGGAGATGGTCGCAAAGAAGGGGATGCAAATTTTGTGGGAGGGCTTCTAGACCCGTTTCCCCTGACCAGAATAAAACTGAGATGATGGTGGTGGTGGTAGTGGTAGTGGAAGAGAGAGGTCAAGTTTGCGGGGCACTTTGTGGACCCACTTTGCGGGGAGACCAGAGCGAGTCAGAGATAGCGGTGGTGGAGGTGGTGGAGGAGGAAGAGAGTCAGGTTTGTGATGGGCCTTGCGGGGCGTCTCCGAACGACGCCGTGATAGTGGTAAATGAGAGGGGTTATATCTGCGAGGGGCCTTGCGGGCGTCTTCACCAGGAGGACTGAGGGAGGCGGAAATGGTGGTGTTATTTGATTTCCAGAGTGAGGCAGAGATGGGGGTGGTGGTGGTGGTGGTGGTGATGGAGCAGGAGGTGGTGGTGTTGTATGGTTACCAAAAACAGAACGAATGAGAGAGGGAAAGGGGGGAACTAAACAAGAACATCATTGATCTTGTGGGCGTTGCGATAACAACCACATAAAAAGAAGAAGATGGACTCGGGAGTGTTGGGTGAGGCTTGGGTAAAAAAAACTAGGACATGAATCTACAGCAGAGAGGTTTACTAGTACCAATTGGCTAAGCAACAACTCTCTATACTTACCCCTAGTATCCTCGCTTTCATTTCTATTGTAACGCCCCACTACTTGCTAGCCTAAGTAACCTGTGGGTAGACCAACAATACCCAAAAGCTTAAGTCCAAGTTACTTAGTAGCAAGGTAGTAGTGCTTTATATGCCCAAGATCAACCATGCAAACTTCTGATGTGAGACAGGGTATTACATCCATCATATCCACCACCAGAACGACCACAGTTGTTTTTGTTGGTTGCCATGAGAGAGAGAGAGAGAGAGAGAGAAAAAAAAGGGAGAGAGATTATGGCGCGGATTGGTTTAGCATTAGCAAGAGTGCTTGTGCTTATAAACTGTCTTCAAGTGGACAGAGATGCTCAAAATCAAAATCAATAAATAAAGATAGCATATTCCAAAATATGTATATATAAAATCATAGAAAAATCAAAATCAATAAATAAATATAGCATATTTCAAAATCTGTATATATAAAAAATCATAGCAAAATCAAAATCAAAATCAATAAATAAATATAGCTTATTCCCAAATCTGTATATATAAAATCATAGCAAAATCATATCAAAATCAAAATCAAAACTATTAAATAAATATAGCATATTTCGAAATCTGTATATATAAAATCATAGCAAAATCAAAATCAAAATCAATAAATAAATATAGCATATTCCAAAATCTGTATATATAAAATCATAGCAAAATCAAAATCAAAATCAATAAATAAATATAGCATATTCCAAAATCTGTATATATAAAATCATAGCAAAATCAAAATCAAAATCAATAAATAAATATAGCATATTCCAAAATCTGTATATATAAAATCATAGCAAAATCAAAATCAAAATCAATAAATAAATATAGCATATTCCAAAATCTGTATATATAAAATCATAGCAAAATCAAAATCAAAATCAATAAATAAATATAGCATATTCCAAAATCTGTATATATAAAATCATAGCAAAATCAAAATCAAAATCAATAAATAAATATAGCATATTCCAAAATCTGTATATATAAAATCATAGCAAAATCAAAATCAAAATCAATAAATAAATATAGCATATTCCAAAATCTGTATATATAAAATCATAGCAAAATCAAAATCAAAATCAATAAATAAATATAGCATATTCCAAAATCTGTATATATAAAATCATAGCAAAATCAAAATCAAAATCAATAAATAAATATAGCATATTCCAAAATCTGTATATATAAAATCATAGCAAAATCAAAATCAAAATCAATAAATAAATATAGCATATTCCAAAATCTGTATATATAAAATCATAGCAAAATCAAAATCAAAATCAATAAATAAATATAGCATATTCCAAAATCTGTATATATAAAATCATAGCAAAATCAAAATCAAAATCAAAAAAAGGGATTAACTCGAAAGTTATGTATTTAATAATATCTACATACATATCTATTGTTTCCAAGGATTATAATAAAACATACCATCTTACGGATTTCCAAAATATAACAAAAGAGTCACTTAGGGTGACTCAGCAAAACGAGTTCAGCTACAGGCTTCTGGACTAACCTAGGGTTGACCCGTAAGCTGGTTACCTACAAAACATTCAAAAGAAAGTAGACCGAGCAAAGCTCAATGAATGATAGTAGTGCAAATAGATTAAAAGAACGAACATGGATTAACAGTGCTTAACCACAAATCATAATTTTGTCTCATTTTTCTTTTCTAAACGACCTCGGGCCCATATAAGACAGAACGACCTTAGCCCCAACAGAATACAGAACGACCTTAGGCCCATTATAATACAGAACAGCCTTAGGCCCATGGTAGTACAGAACGGCCTTAGGCCCATTATAGTAGCAAAACGGCCTTAGGCCCATCAAAATACAAAACGGCCTCAGGCCTATCATATTGACAAAACGGCCTTTGGCCCACCGTATTAACAGACAAAACGACCTTGGGTCCATATTTCACATGCCAAAGTTCAAACATATATTAACGTATCTTATATGACATAAGGAGTTCACTAAAGAGTGAATAGGATCTTAAACAACACATATACAAACATGATACGTGAATACAACATCATACTACGCTACTACCATGTGATGTGGGTGAACACTAGTTCCCTCCTATGGATGCCCTACACATAGCACATAATTCATATGTACATCACCTTTTCTTAATTTTCTTTCATTTCTCATTATTTGATTAACTATGTTTCATGTAATTAAATACATTATAGGAACATCGAACGGACATAACAATACATTCAAAGGGTCGAGATGAGCGAAAGGAAGTTTCAAAATTTTCCAACTTGGGCCGCACATGCGGAAGTCCTCGCCGCACGTGCGGGTAGGTGCGCCACACGTGCAGGCCACACTGCAGACCACCCGAACTCCGCTCCGCACACGAGGGCGCGAATTGTAGTTCTAGCTACGACAGTTCGGACTCCTATCACGGTTCTGAATCTAATCTCACAAAGTGCAATGTAAGACTAATAAATCACCAAAGAGTCCAAATCCGGCAATTGGTTTTGAAAAATCAATTTTGAATCAAAAAGTGCCAAACATGGACTGCTTTGCCAGATTTCAGAGTCGCCACCTAAATATTTTGTTTTTGGAAAATTTAGGAAACCCTGACTCGTGCCTAAGGCCATGTGTCCGTCATCACCAAATTTTTCTCGGCTCGGGAATTTGGGTACGAGAGGTAAAGGTCCTGAAATGAGCACCCTCGCTCGCCCGATCAAAGATCGGCCTCTACTAACATGATATGTTGTTTTTGATAACACAGGCATTCTTATTCCGGTTTATTAGCTAACCTTTACTATGTGATGCGCACAACATACAAGTATAGACTAAATCGCTCAAATTGGAACAAAACATGTCATGTTTGTTTTTCGAAAATGGTTTGAAGTTGCTACTCGTAAGTAGGCTAAGTCACGGACTTGCCACCATCAAGTGGGCTTAAAACATGATGTGGCACTCCGCAAAGTGGGCTTAAAATGCACATTTTTATTAATTGTTCCAATTCAAGTAATGAAACCTTCATCCATAGGCATTCATGCAGTTTATCAAATAAGCAATTAGCCTCATGGCAAGCATGCTGACATGGCAACACTCACATCTTATGCAGAACGCTAAAGCGTAAAAGCTTACCTAGTACTCCGAGCCAAAACAAAAGCTATGTTAAAAATCAATGCATGACCCTAGCTATGTCAAGAATGCCTAATGCAACACATGCAAAATGCAACTAAGATAGGCTCGGCTATTCTAAGATGTCATGTGAATGCAACTAGATAACATGTATTCAAATTGGTATTAAAATACAATGCAGTTTGTATGATGCGCCGAACCTGGTGCATGCAAGACAGATTAATGGATGCACGCATGCAAACATAAGTATGCTAATTAAAACATGCCCTAAAACTAACCATCAAAAGCTGGTAAATAAAAAAGAGAAAGACGTGGGGTTGGAAAACATTCACACACACACGCACACTGATTACAACATTTTGCCCTCCCGACGGAAGGTCCGAAAGAATAAGCTAAGCTAGCTACACTAAGCTAAGCTACTTAACAAATCTAATAATCTAATTAGACTAATTATTACACAACACAAATTGAATAACTAGCTACAACTAATTATTACAATACTTTAACTAATTAACAAATTAACTAATTATGGTAACTAACTAAGCATGTGAGGTATGTGAACTAGGTTGCCATAGCTCAACCTTGAACAATGAAGGATGAATGCTCTCGATTGCCTCGCTCGGAAATCAATTACTATGCCCCTAATTGCCTCTGCTTGCATTTGGTTTCAGAACACAGCACAAACTTCCAGAATGCTTCTTCTCCAACATGGGGGCCTTCTGGTGGGCTACCGTAGACCACCTGTAGACCACCTAAATTGGTTGTAGACAAGAAAAAGTGGTCGTCCGACCACTTTTACTGGTCTGTCGACCAGAAATTCTGCCAGACTCTAGTTTTGCTGCAGTAGAGAACAAGAAAGGGGCGTAACAGTGTATTTGTAAGGTATGTGTGCACAACCACCCTCCCTATCATTTCTCAAGCTCAAGGGGGTGCGGTACTCGACTCTCGGGCCACCAACCGAGTGTCGCAATGCACGATGGACGAGAAGCCAAGTTTACACAATTCAACGTCAATGAATGCACGAAAAACACATAAAGACCTCCACCTCTATCATGCATGATCATGAGGGTTGGCGATCGAGAAATGAGGTGCGTTTCATCACTTCAAGAATGAAACGCTCCTTGTTTCTCGTGTTTGGATCAACATCCGATCCAAACACAATGCAATGCAACAACATGCAAGCACAATGCAATGCGACAACATGCAAACACAATACCATGCAACAACATGCAAACACAATGCAATGCAACAACATGAAAACACAATGCAATGCAACAACATGCCTATCTAACAATGA